TTTCCCTTCCTTCTTGCAGCTGGCCAGTGGGAAGAGAAGAAAGAGACATAACAGCCATTACAGCATCTCCATATTTTTATCCTTGATAGAAAATTAGCTTTCTGGTTTAAGATACACACACCAATTTCAGAGGGCCAATTTTTGTGATATAAATGCATGTGATATGCAAATACATTTAGTCTGAAAAACACACCCTTATTTAAATGGAGCATATAAAGGAATGTTTAGCCTCCCTGGAAAACAAGGGGTGTAAAAGCAGGGAGTATGATCAACCACTGGTTATGCTGAGGTTTCTTACAGTTTTGACTTCTGGGTCTGAGGCTTTGCCAACCACACCATTCCATATACTCCTTTATATGAAATTTGTGGATTAAATTCTGCCCTCATACAACCCTGGATCGAAGTCAATGGGAACTGCACACATATTTCTGATGATAAACTTTGCCCTCCTAAATTTGCCAAAGCACTAATATTACCCTCAATTAATTGGTCCTCTTCATTAATTTGTACTTCCTTGGTGATTTCTATTACAGGGCTGAGATTTCCCTCCATTGGTCCCACATGTAGCAGCCCTATGTCCTCTGCTGGTACCCTGAGAAGTGACCCAATGCCCTCTGCTGGTGGTGCTGGTGATCCTGCTGGTGACAGCTCTATGACCTCCATTGCTCCTGCAGGAAGAAGGTCCATGCCTTTTTCCAGACTTGTAGACAGTCGACCATCATCCTCCACCAGTCCTTCAGGTGTTGGCCCAGTGCTCTCCCCAGATCCGGGATCTACTATTTTACTGCCCAAATCATTTTCTGGTGGTGTTGGAACCAAAGTTTCTGTTGCCTCTGCTGGGAAACTCTCATTTGTTTTTGATTCCTCAGAGATGACATCCACATCCTGGATTGGGTCTAGCTTTGTCTGGTCAGGTATAGTTTCATTTTCATCAGCAACTGGAGTGTTTTCATCTGGTGTCAGTTCTATTTATTGTACAATAAAAATGAGAAAAAGAAGACATGAATTATTAAATAAGATATTTAAATAGATCAGTTCTAGAACATGATAGCACCTGTGCAGATCAGATCACAATCCATAAACCAGTTGTTATTTTGGTAGAAGGATTACTCTTTGGCTAGCTCAAAAGAATAACGGAACTATCATAAAGGTGGTTCTACTATTATATCAACAATAATTTCTGGGGGTTTTTTTTACATGGAAAATATATTTTAGTAAGAGATACACACTTTTAACAAGTCATTCTACTATTGTTATTGACAGCAAGGCCCTAAACTAAAGGGGGAGCTATGACCAAATCAGACCTACCTGATAATTTCTAGTACAAAAATGTGGAGCCAGTGCTCTGAGACTTTTCTATCTTGAATGTGCATGGGTAGATCCTTAGGTTTACAAATGGACTGCCATTTTTTTAAGAACTTAAAAATTCTGCGAATAACTTTCCACTGCGAACAGATTACTAAATAAATAAAGCAATGGGTCTGAAAGTCACATGGAAACAGAGCAAAATGACTTCTAAACATCTGATATGATGGACACCCTACCATAGAACTTGAAAAAGTCACACAATAAGATACCAAATTAAGACCACTTGATCAGGCTGATTTAATAGCTTGGCAAATTAAATTTGACAAGAAATTGGATTTAAGCGTCTCACAAAAAACATGATGATGAAAAAAAGCCTTAGGGCTTATGAGGGAAATTTGTTAATATAATAATTACAAGATGCTGACAAATTGTATTTTCTGCTGAAATGATTATTGCAGTGATGAAAGCTGTCAGAAGAATTATGCAATAGTTTTTATACATGGAAGTAAATGGCTGAAGAATGTAATACGTCTTGTTTTTAACAAGTCTAGGTCTGCTTGCCTTTGAGATCAAGGATTTACCAAAGTGAATTTAAGGGAAAACAAACTTCTGTGAGGTCCAGAAGGAGAGACTATATTTCTAGAGATGCTCAGATAAAGCAAACCTTTAAGAGGGGTCACCAAGTCATTGGCTGAAATGCATATTGGGTTAAGACAGCTGACCCAAAGGAGTGGCAACAGTAGAGAACCAAAAGCAGCTACATATACTGAAAATAACTTTCCAAGCAGAATACATACAAAGAATGCTGCTCTCAGTCTATAAGAATTTGCCAGAAAAATTGGAAGTGGGCCAAGGACACTGAAGGCTAGGAGTTAAAATGTGCAAAGAGACTTAGGCCACGGTTGACCGGACAGCACCTATTTATTTGTATTCTTCAAGTACCGTGGGCCCTAAGGAGCACCTGGGCAACAGTCCCTACTGTGTGGGGCCAATGGGTGAAAGATACAACAGAATTCTTGGGACAACAAAGGCAAAAAAACAGGACAGGAGTGACACGAGGGTCAAAACATGAGAATGAGTGCTCCTGAGGGGGACACTGAGCAGAGCCCCCTGGGCCGTGCCCACCGGTCCTCAAAGGCATCCAAGGAACTGGTGGACGCTGCCCAGTGGTGCTCCATTTGGAGGCATGTGCGGATCAGTGAGAGGAAAGCAGGCCCTCAGTCCATGGGCACCTTCCCAGCCAGAGCCTCCTTCCTGGTCAAGTACAGGGCCCACTTGGACAGGACCAGGAGGAGGTTGACCAGGAGGCCCCAGGACTTGGTAGGGCCATGGATGGGGTGTCCAAAAATAAAGGTGGGGGGTAAAGTTCAACCAGAACCTCAGGAGGAGGTTCTGGAGGTAGAGGGGCTGCAGCCTGGCGCACTTGAGGGTCATGTGTGCCAGGGTCTCCCTCTGCCCACAAAAGGGGCAGGAGACCAGGGTATCCGCAAAGCTCACCACATACACGGCCATGGTGATGGCTCCATGGAGGAGCCACCAGCTGAGGTCCGCAGTGGCTCATGGGATGAGGGTGGAGTACACTCAGCCACTGGGGCTTGGTCCAGAGTCACCTTAGTTCACAGTCAAAAAGGCACCTAGTCATGGTAACGGTGTACGTGCCCATAAATTAAATTAAGAAGTAGCAAGTTAAGTGTCTCCATTCAAAGTAGGACATGCACGTGCCTTTTGGATGGGATTTCCACAGGCAGCATGCAAGGCAGGGGCAGGAAGAGACAGCAGATGCACCCAGTTTTTGCCCAACTGCCTAATAGTTAGAGGACTTGCCTAGGAAGTGGAAGACCTGGGCTCAAGGTCCTTCACAGCTTGAAGAAAGTTAGGACCCACATTTTCTACTACTGGAAAAGCATCATAATCACTAGTCTATGGGCTGGGCTAGACATCCTCCAGCCCTCTATTGAAGCCAAGAATACAAGACTCCTGGGGTCAGAAAACAAGCAACAGAGTCTAATTCTGTAGTTCCAGTGGGCAAAGGTGTTCCCATGGGAGAGAGTGAGATGTCAGTTCCAGCCCTTGGGACTGCTTATGTATTCTGAATTAAATAGTTATTGGATTTACAAGACAGATATTCACCACTTGTTAAAATCAGGCCTGTTTACGGTATCTCAGTTTGGCCACCAAAAGTGGAGCCACCCAAAATGAGCAGAGTTTTTTTTAAAATAGGACTGCTCCCTCCCAACAGCTGATGAGAAAAATCACAAATCTCCCCCAGCCAAGATTTGAATAACAATGATGCAAAACTCCCCTCTTTCATTTGAGTGGAAGGGGGGATGCCTTCCACTTCCAAAGGCTCTGTTCCCACATATTCAGTCTTCTGGAAACAGAACATTCTGCCTTTGCCACCATCCTCAAGCCCTACACGTGCTCATTGGAGGGCAATTCCTTTCTCCTTTATTTTTTATTGTTTTAGCTTTTTCTATACATCTTTTGCAATTTTATCCTCCTCAGAAATCATTTGGCCCTAAGGGCCCCCATGACATATTACACTCAAGACATGATTAACCAGTTAATCACATCTTGAGTTGTAACCTGGCCACACATTCCATCAATTAATGGAGCAATAACATGAAAAATAAGCCACAAACTTTTTCCACAAAATATGTATAACAAATTTGTGGCTGGTTCCTATGATGCCATTAAATGAATGTGTGGCCTGATGTGGCTGGGAGCCCTGCAACTGATCGGAGCTCCCAGCTACAGGGGCACACCGTGCACCTTCAATCCTGGGAGCCTGCAGGTCAGCTGATGGGTTCCCAGCCTCAGGAAGCTTGCTACATGCGGGTGCAGGGGGAGCCCAGGATTATCACCACAATCCCAGGTTCCCCCTACACTGACAATAAGATGTATTGTGTTCTGACACGTAATCCCACAATTATGCCTCCTGCTGCATGTAGCATGTCAAAAAGCACAATTGTGTGGATCGTGCATCAGATCCTATCATGCCTTTACCTACATGTCTGGCAGGGGCCTAAGAAATGGATAAAGAGTGAGCTTATTATATGGACCTGCAATCAGCATTTTATTGGAAACAATGAGCATTTTCAACAAAAGAAATAGTTTCAAGGATTCTTACTAGAAGTCCTCTCTAGTGTCTAGAGACCAACTGAACATACATTACAACCAATCCTCAATAGGTTTTATACAACATGTACAAAATAAGTATAGATTTTAGAGTGATGTCATGCCACATGCACCAATACTGCTAAAAAATATGTGTTCCATTGCCTTCTTCCAAAATAGGGTGGATTCTCTACTATAGAAGGAGACCTCCAATTTGTCAGTTTAATATCTCCATTCCCCAAAGAATGAACATCATATGCCTGTCAGCACTTTTAAAGTAATTAAAGTTACAGGCATTATAAATGCTAATCTTCAATGATGGCAGAAAATTTAGGTAGGTAGTTCCCACAACAATATGCCCATTAGCCGGTTTTCTGTTTAAGATCTTTATTATTGATCTATTGAAAGAGCCCCAAAATTCTGCACACTCTATTTTAGCCAAATTAAATATTTTTTTCCCATAAATTTAGAGAAGTCTTTCAAAATACCTTTTTCCTACTAAATGCAATCAGATGGCAAATAAAATATCTCCTGGTTAGTAAGATCCCCAATTTGTGCAACTATTTCCTTGTTTTTACATGTTGCAATGTATTATCACCATACCATTAAGTATTCATTATGCCTCACAACCTCTGCCAACAACACTCCTTGAAATGAAATGATTAAAATACCTCATATTCAATAATCTCAGTCTCCTTTACCCGCCCTTTCCTGCTCATGTACAAAAGCACTAATATCTGCAGTGAAACTGAAGAGGAATTTGGCCTTGGCATATTGACAAAATGAACCAAAACAACAGGTACACTATCAGGAACAAAACTTCTGATGAAATATTAAGTGTGCTCTTCTATACAGAGGTGTACTGGTTTAGACTGTTCCATCTAGCACTCTGAATTATAATAGCCCCTAATGAACCTGCTGTTAACTCCTCAGCTGTAAGGAATGAAATATTTTAAGACACAGAAGCTAAAGGATTAGTACATGCAGGAATTCTTTTTTCTACAGTCTGGAAAATAACTATATTGAAAATCTTTATAAGTGTATAATGACTAAAGTATTACATACATAATTAAAGGAAATAGGTAAAAAAATTAAATAAAACAAAAGGATGACAAACAGGCTTTTATATTAAATTTGTTTATAATTTATCCCAAGCTGCTGACGTGCATTATAATGCTTACATCAGAGAGCTCTGTAGGTTCGGCCTAGAGTCAGGGAGCCCCACAAAGAACGGTGCGAAAATTATGCTTCAGGCAGGCAAAATATCTTCCAAAGCTTCTCTGTGCATGATGGATGGTCCATTATCCATTTCCATCAATTATTTGGGAGTGGTGAGGAAAGAACTCTTCCACCTTGACCTCACTGTCTCCCTTGATTGTCAAACTCACTTTCTTTCATCTTTTAGATTAGGGCACGTTTGGCTAACACAACATTCATCTTTAAGATATGTGCAGCAGCTCTGTGGAAGCAACTGGGCTGCATTTAGATTTTATACAGAACATGAGCTAAAACCAGGATTTGGCTTTTGAGGACTCTGAAA